GCGAGTCGTTACAAGAGCGAGTTAGACCGTTCTTTTTAGCTGGAGAGTTAAAAAAAAGTCGCTTAACACATCGATTAATACGTTGATGTGAAAGAACAAGAACTTTGGGAGAAGAAAAAGTCACCCGACACATTTGCGAATTAATGCGTCAATGCAAACGAAGAGATAGATAGATAGATAGATAGAGAGAGAGAAAGAGAGAGAGAGAGAGAGAGAGAGATTTACGACCCTCTTGTCTAGCGATACTGGCTCGAGTTATATCGTCATCCCGATCTGATCGTTAAGAGATCTCGTGCGCCGTGGCGCGTCCCTCCGCGGCTCTCCCGAAACGCCAAAATGCTAAAGCGCGGATCGCGGCTATTATTTCGCGACGCATTTAGACTGCATCTCTCGGCAGAACGCGAAAAGAAAATGTTTAGAGTTCTCTTTCTCTCCCTCTCTCTCTCTCTCTCTCTCTCTCTCTCTCTCTCTCTCTCTCTCTCTCTCTCCCCCTCTCTCTCTCTCTCTCTCTCTCTCTCTCTTTCTCTCTCTCTTTCTCTCGGCTCGCATTATTCCGAAACCCAATTCCGTCGGCTTCTGGATCCAAAGTGCCCCGGGAATATGCACGTGCATCTTACGGTAAAGCGCCGCGCTGCCTGGCATCGCGCGAGTGCACTCTTTCGCTATTCGCTATTTCGTGAGTGCTAAAGAGTAGAGAATCTGCCCGCCTCGTGCGTCGAAATAAAAGCCACTCGCGTCTGCATGAGCGCGATAACAAGTCGATGCGATCTGAGCCGTTCAACGGCAGATTTTTATCCGCTGATGCGGATTTTTATTAAGAGCCCGCGTTATCAAGTCCGCTGATAGGCGTAGTCCGTTCGAACGGGCCGTCTCGCGGGAAATTCTATGCATAAATATAAGGAAGCAACGAGTTTTGGCTGAAACGATCTCATTGTCTCAACCTCGCGTGATTACGGCCGGAGCGGATGCAGCGGATTGCACTTGGACGCTGGCTGTGATTTAAGAAGATTATCACTGATCTCAGTTTATATCGGCTTGGACGAACGAGCGGTGCGAGAGTGAACTCTGAGCGAAATCTTTATCGGAAACTGGCTCTTCGTTAGTCGCTCTAATGAGTTATCTCCGAAGCCAAATTTCCAAGCGGCTCAGAAACCGCTCGCAGACTCTTCGTCTCTCTCGCGAAATATCTGAAACCAGGATTTCGTGATTGCGATCGAGCCCGTGATTATCAACCGTAAGAATATCTAGACAAGGCGTTCTGCGAGGGAAAAATCTAATCAGCGGTGAAAGTAAAACATGTGCTTCGGGTTTTCTCGCCGAGGCTTCTTCGGATCTTTTAGGTAAGAAGTCCGGGATAGATGACATAGTTTTTTTCAATTGGAAATAACACATCTGTATTATTGCAATAAATGATCAACAACATATTAACACAGTGGAGAATAATATTTAAGGTACAGAAGAATTTTTATGAAAAAAATTCATGGAACGCCAATAATAATGAAATATGAAAAATATGCTGTGAGGGACAGGTGGACAGTGAGGGTCAGGTATATGCCCGGGTTAGATGGTCATACATGAAGGGATGTTGGGCATGCCTATAATAATATAGAAATTTGTTTATCTTTATTTATTGTTTTAGTATTTTACATCCTTTTATTAATTATTAATCTTTTTATTAATCCTTTTATTAATTAGTAATAAAATAAAATATTTCCACAAGTTTCTTATAAAAACCAAGGACAACATTGGAGAGAAGGTTAAAAAGTGGCAACACAGAAAAAGACTCTATGGGTAAACATTGTTTATTAAAGAGAGAAAAGAGAAAAAAATCTATTCGGCATCTTTAAACGAAACAAGAAGCTATTTAAAATGTAATAAAGTTTTTAACGTTAGATAGCCACGGAAAAATAATAGTCGAATAGATGTGGGATCGACGTCTTTTATACGTCTAAACTGTCTAAAGTATCTAGAAAATGTCGATCCGATGTCCGTTGCTTGCTGTTTCTCGCTAAGTAGGCTGCTCATCTAACTCTGAAAAAAATGGACCATCTATCCCCGTTTGGAGAGTTCGCGTAAAAATGTGTAAAACGTAGTCTCGGTGACGAATTTCGAGATTAAATATGAAAATACGATGTTTTTTTAGTCGTTTAAGCTCAGATCTAATGTTGCAACTCAAAATAAACCGCATTCGCAAGGTATTTTTCCGACGTGTGAAACATTTTGGAGGTTACTGGAAATATAAAACATTTATTTACTCACAACAACAATAATTTTTATGCATCAGGAAGAGACATACTATTCATGATATATCCAACTCAGAACTGACCGATCAGCGCTGACGTTTAGCATATATTAACAAAATTGCAGCAATTGACTATCTATCTCTTATGCCCATCTATCCCAGACATATCTTATATAGCTCGCGTTGAGAGCAATAACGTTCGCGACTAACTCAAGTAGCGTTTTTGAAGGGATATTTTACGTCAATTTATTGTAAATTTATTGTAAGTTGTCAACAAGTATAAAATGCGCGCGCACACACATATACACACCAAGGAAGTACATGTGAGCCGAAATGCGATCTGAAATACCGCGACTCATCCTTTTGTCTCATTACTGCAAATTGATGCACTCCCTTTGCCTGAATTAACAGTACATACTCCGTCCAGATATTGTTATGTTGATGCCCGTGATTGATGATGTTAGTTCTGTATATATGTGTGTATATGTGTATGCACGCGTTTGTACGAAGCACTTGTGCACACGGCTGGAGAAAAACAGGCGAGTGTTTTGGAATTATCGATCGGAATTCAAATTCGATATAGCGTGAAGAAAAATACCCTTCGTGTGATACGAGTGCAAGTGTAGCGCAAGGACGATTATTCTCGTAGCCTGTGAATTACAGCTTATTGCGACGATAAGTTTGGCTTTAGCGGAATCGGTTATCGTGCGATAAGACCTTTCCGACCCCTTTCGCTATTCCCTCCCGAGCATCGAAGGAATCCAGCCTACCTCTCATCCCCAGCGGAGCATTTTATTCTTTTTGTCCATCTTCGACACCCCACTAACCCTGAATCACCGATAGCACTTTAACCATTAGTAATTTCGAGGAGAGAACAACCGCTTCGGATCGTTTTTCAGAATTTCGCGTAATATAAAACCGCTACTTTCCCTTTCCTCTCTCTCTCTCTCTCTCTCTCTCTCTCTCTCTCTCTCTCTCTCTCTCTCTCTCTCTCTTTCCTTTTCCTTTCGTTCCTTTCAACGAGATTTTGCTGTGTTTATTACCAAGTCGCTACTCGGTCGATACACGGTGGTCTCGTAATTGCTTGAAAATCGGAATATAATTTAGCGCAAGAGAACAAGCGCGAGATTAATTCGGAGAGTATAATATTCACGTGACTATATACACAGGTGTATTTATTGAGAAAATACAAAGAGAGCGTGCGGGAGCTGGGCGGAAATTGTGGTTGATCCAACGGATGGGGATTCGAGGCAAAAAACCGACGCGGCGAGCCTCGGATCGAGATGACCGAGGATAAGTCACGAGTGAAAAGTGAGCCGGCGTCATTAAATTGGGATTTGAAGCGAGTGATGGCATTTGGAACGACTAGAGGAGACTAGAATAACTTTGAGCGACCAATACTTGAAGGTCGATCGGTGCAAATTGGATTCGTTTCCTGTCACTTTACGACATTACAGCCGAAATAATTAAAAATTCGTTAGAAAGACGCGCCGGGCTGCTTCTGCTTTCGGATGGAGTATCAAAATATAGAAGCGAGAGAGACTAATCGCGTTGCAACGGTGATGCACGAGAAATCGATTCGAAGGAAAGCGAAATTGCGCGCGCGACGGACTTAGATTATCGTATTAATTATTTACGCTAATCGATCGTCGCTTTCAAATCCGTCGAGGGAGAGAGGATCGGTGCGATTAAATCAGACTTCCGGCCGAAAAATCAATTTTTTCGATTTCGCGGGGTGATCATCGATAATAATCATCCGCGACAATCGCGGTCGATGCGCCTTCAAATTTGCTGAGAAAGAGAGAGGCTATGTTCGAGCGACGAGCGTCTCGGAAAACTCGGGATTGACGTTGCCGCAGCACCTGCGCGAAAAATTTACGCACCGCCCACGGCAGTCCAATAAATGCGGGCTTCACTGTATTTTGAATCGGGCGGTGTGCGATATCTCGAACGCCCCGAGCCGGGCAATTTTTGCAGCGGGATTCAAATTACAGATCGATGCTGTGGTTGCTTCGTGGCAACAGCAGCAGCGGCAGCGATAGTAGTGATAGCGTAGTGGTAGCAACGTCGGAGGAGAATATGTAGACGCGCACTGCGTCGGCTATCGCGCGACGCCACGGGACTCCGCTCTTGACGAACGACGCTCAGTGGCGTGCGTCGGCGGCGGTGGTGGAATTAAATCCGGGAGGAAAGAGAGGAGAGAGAGAGAGAGAGAGAGAGAGAGAGAGAGAGAGAGGGGGGGAGAGAGAGGAACAGGTGCCGGCGACGACCCTGCCGTCGGACGGCAGGTGAAAACGCGCACACGGTAGAATCGAGGCTGCGAACGCCAAGAGGGAGAACACAATTCGAGGTGTCGAGTGCCAAAGGACCGACCGGCGATGCCACGCTTCGCAGACGTCCCTAGTGCGCAAGGGCGTTGGCGCTGACGACGGACGGTACTGGAAGTGTTGGCGGTGTGGGGTCCGGGAGCTTCGGAGCGCTTGATCGGGGGTGGAACGCGAGGAGGGCGCGTGGAGTAGGGGGTGGTTTGAGGAAACCGTGGGGTGGGACAACCGGAGACGACTGTGCTCCCAGTCGCTCAGTCCGCGCCCCGACACGCAATCACACGCACACTGCTCGCTCGAAGACGACGGAGAGTTACGAAGCTACTGTTTTTCTTTTCCTTTTCTTTTCTCTCTCTCTCTCTCTTTCTCTCTCTTTCTCTCTCTTTCTCTCTGTCTCTCTGCCTCCCTCTTTCTCTCTCTTTCTCTCCCTCTCTCTCTCTCTCTACCTCTCCCTCTCTCTCTCTGTCTCTGTCTCTTTCACTTTTTCCCGCGGCCTGCGCCTCGGGAGGTGTCCCTTTTTTTTGTCCCATCTGTCCCGCGGTTTCCACGACTAGCCGCGTGTCGGTACGGTGCCGCGTCGTCATCGTCGCCGACGCCGATCGCCGAACGTCGGTCCACGTCGGCGGTATTCTCGTCTTTCTTCAATGGTGAGTACGACAGAGCTCCTCGCAGTCACACACTAAGCTGGTGGTCTCTCTCGCGGTGTCCGTCGCTCCGTGTCCCAAGTATTACGCGAGCGGCATTCGCGCTCGGTGCGCGCGGACGAGATCGAGCGGCACACGCTCGAGTTTGGCAAAGAACTTTGCCAAACTTCCGGCAGTATCTCCTCGTTAGTTCGTTTGTTCGCCTGTGTTGCGCTTATTTTCAATTTCGCAGTCTGCTAATGTCGCGCGACGCGCGTTAGCGGCTGACTCATCTTGAAACACGACAAAGTGCGGTAATCTGGTGCCCGCTTTCATTCTCGTCGGTATTCCGCGTTGTACCGGGAATTACCCTCGTAATTACAATTGCCACACGTCGTCTCCAGGCTTTCATTCTGCTAATGGAAGGTCCGGCGGGATTGCTTTATTTTCGAAGAATAGTCACGAGAATTTTCGAGAGGAAGAAACAAGATATCTCACGCGCTCATACACACACTCCCCCCCCTCTCTCTCTCACTCTCTCTCTCTCTCTCTCTCTCTCTCTATCTTTTTTCTTCGTTATCGCGTCTCGCGAGTACAATTCCTGCAATTTTGTACGCGATGAAATCCCAATAAAAAATGTCCTAAGTGGAAAATGCGTGGTGCTGAGGTTTCACTCAACGGTTACTTCACTTCTTTCTTTCTTCTTAACGCGAAACACACCGCACCGGAGTGGACAATAAAACAATCGTGAATACGGCGCGCATTGTTGCGTAATAAAAATTAACTGTTTTTGTTCGTTTGCTGCGTTTGAGCGACGTAATCTTCGCTCCGAGTGAGGTTGTTTTACAAAACTCAGTGCACAACTCTGCTTATTGATTTTCACAAGCGCTCCAAAACGATTATAACCGACTCGTCTCGTGTTTTTATACGGTATAGCATTCTTTACGTCGCCGATTTCTCCTCTCCGTGTTTAAATATCGAGAGTATGAGTAGTCTTGGGCAGCCACTGCGCTCTCGCTCAAAGTTCTTCGTGGGGATTCGCAAGAAATAAAGACACTACATATTACGCAGACGCGCAGCATCATCGAATTCGTATGCGCACGCCTACGCCGACATGCCGTGCTATTAGGGAAAACTTAAGAGAGCTACGCGAAGCGTAAGGAGCCTCGATTAAGCTGCCCTGCCAATATAACGGATCTCTCGGCGCAAATTGGAGCTAAACATCGCGCGATAATAACTGCGATAACGTCCATCTTATCGAGATATCAGCGCGGATTGCCTTCGCGTTACGTATAGATTCGCCGCGGGGAATCATTTCGGACGGAGCCTCCGACGTGTCACAATGGCGCGCCAGTCAATTATACCGAAACGATCGGCAGTGGTCGTCGATCTTCCCATAAAAGCAAACATCAATCGCGTATCTTCAATCAGAGCTCGCACACACGGCTGCGACTCCGGTCACGATTTCAAACGACGCACTCGCAACCCCGCCGTATTTGAAAAATACAATATTTGCAGGCCAAACAAGGTGAAAAAATTTACACGGACGTATTGATATTGAAAAAGCCGTAGATGGAAAAGGCAAACGGCTGGTATTGACGAATGTTGCTGAATACGATCGATCAAGCGCGGCCCAGATTTAAACGTAATATAAGCTAATTTTTTTCAAGCGGTACCTCACACAATCACGCTTTGACGCTTCCCCGACTGCAAACCCATTGCAAAAAGCTATTGTAAAATGGCAAAGAGTAGATCGATATCCATTTCACGCGAATCTCTCTGTGTGGATATAAAACGGATATGTCAAATAATTTGGAGGTACTCACATTTTGTGATTAGAATGAAGAAGTATACTTCACAATTTCAGAACATATTTTGTAATTTTAATGTGTTTTGTAATCAACACGATGACTTCTTTTCGGCTTCAAGATGCGGTCCGGACTTTTGACTTGCGGTCAAAAATGCCGAAAGAATACCATGTCGTTTAATCTGTAAGATAATATCGCATCATTGGACACATTGATATGCGCGTAATTGTGCTCCGCGCGCGGCAAAAAGGTGTTTGCGCGCGTTTCACGCTTACAATCGCCTGAAGCATGAGTAAATTATTAACGAGCTGGTTCGCCCATTAGCACTTTATGGCTTCGCACGATTGTACTCACCGCGGAAAACCCATTTGCTAATTGAAACGTTCTGCCATTTACGAAATCAGGCACGGACTCAGCCATGATAAGATTCATTCTTCGAATTTCGAATTAATATTTCGTCGACTAAACACGTCAATGACTCACTATTGTATACTATTAATTAGCATCATATTCATATGTATTTCACAGATTTTTGAAAATCTTGGTTCAACCACGAGATATTCCCCGGACTCGTCAAGCGAAAGATTAACGTCCTGAATGGTGAATTGTTCCCTCCCGTTGCAAAGAACACTAAGTATAACGCAAAATTCAAATTCAACCGCAAAGTTTCCCTGTTTTCTTGTTCTACGATAATGGCGCTCTGATAATTTCGCGTCTTTATTTCCTGAAGCCGTAAATGCGACGGTATCATTTGCATGCTTCAAGGATCCTCGTCGGAAAACTCCCGATATTTTCCTTACGTACTTATCACGGACGCATCCAATCTTAGCTCATTTTTACGAGCTGCCCGTAATTTTATGGACGGTTGGCGAGTACGATCCCAAGGGTAAACCGAAACTTTCCCGAAGCTGCCTCAGACCGCTCATCTCCCCGCTGTCCAAACTTGATTCATCTAACTTCGCCCGGCGAAGTTCGCCGCCGAAAAGGCACAAATTTCGCGAATCGATGCAAAAATTCGATGGGATCATCTGGCACATTTGTGTGCACACGATTCCGCGATTTTTCGTTGACTTCCTTTCGCGCAAGTTTGCGGAAGAGCAGCGCGACAGCTGTTTCGAAAGTGGCGTTGCCAACGCGTTCAGTTTGTCAATTGACGAAAATAAGGGAGAGGAAAAAATAAAGGAGAGTGGAAAAATAGCAACGCGGAGGACGATCTGAGGACGGTCCATTGTGGTCAAAGACCATGATGAACCGTCACAAAGCGTGTATCGGCGCGGCCGACTTGATGATGACGTCGGCGGCGACGACGACAACGATGGGTTATTATCGAAAAAGTTATATAATTCATCCGCGCGCGCCCGTTGACAAAGCTAATTCATACCTCCCGCCCGCCTGCCGCCGATCGAATATTTTAATTGTCGGCGGCTCCTCTTGTTCTCCATCTCATTGTGCTTCTCTTTGCTCTGCCGAACTGGTTTAATTGAGCCCCAGCGTTCGCTCTCTGTCCGAGCGGCGAGATTCACAAAGAGCGAATGAGTGAGAGGGGGAGGGGAAGAGAGAGGGAGAGTAGCCTATGCTCCAAGTTCGATGACTTCGGAGACTTTATTGTTTGCGTCGCCGTTTAATTGCCGAGCAGAAGTTACACGAAAGACTCTCATTGGTGTGCATTAATGTTATTTTGCAGTCGGCGTATTCGCTCAACGTGTCTCAAAGCGAGAGAACTATTTATCGCCGTGCGATCAATCAGTTCGGAACGTTTTCAGCTGGGAGTGCAGCTTGATCGAAAGTTCCCCCCGGCAAATTTCCCAAATTTCCAATTACATTATCCTTCAAAATCACGCGCGATCGCACGGACTGGTATCATTCGTATTTCGACCGCAAAATGTTGCTCTGGTCTTTTCCAAAATAATGTGTCACCGTAGCAACGACAGAGTATTCAATTTAGGAGATGGATTTTTTTTCAAGAAAGAATACAAAGTTGACGAGAGGCTACGACGTAAAGTGCTGCATACGCGCAAGCTGAATTCTGCGCCAAACTGAAACGTATTACCGCGAGCGGGAGCACAGGGCGGTATGGTCACATTTAAGGAGATTGGCGTACTTAATCTATGCTCGCGCGATGCGGGTCGATGAGGGAAACGAATCGGATCGGGGCCATGTTCCGAAAGCGGTACCGCAAATTTAATTTTTAATAGCGAGTCTGGATTTGTTCAATCTTCTCGTCCACATCTTCCCCGCGTCTTCTCTCTGTCCGTCTATATAGCATCGCCTCCGCGTAGAGAGACCGATTTCGTACGAAAAAAGATTATTATCGTATGACCCAGATTGCTTTGGTATGCAGGCAATGTTACCTGAGTAAAGAGAGATACAGTTTCTGAAGAATACGACCGGGCATGATGTTAATCCGCGAGCAATTCCCCGAATAAATAAGACTCTCTCTCTCTCTCTCTCTCTCTCATCCGCTGTCCCTATCTCATTTCCTCTCCAGCGCATACCTTATTTAAGACTTTGAGTCTCGTCGTACAAACGACGAGAAATCTATATTTCGACGCTGCGAGAGCAGCGATCGGGATACAGAAAAAAATAGTCGGAAGAATTCTTGCAGGACCACTCGAGCGAATTTAGCACTGGCTGATAATTACACTCGACAGCCACTTAATTCAAATCTCACGGAGACGCGTTAACGCGTGCGCGAATAAAAGTAACATGAAATAGATAAGGCAAAACCAAACGACTTCACTAATTAGTTCTTAAATTATCGATGCGGGGCGAAACTTCGACCCGTATCTAACGCGCTCGAAGCGAGCTATTGCCAACAGCTGATTCGCTTTTCAAGTTTCGCCCGGGTTTATTACTTTGGATTACATAATCCGGCGTAATAATTTCGCGTTATCGGGGGATTGGAAATTAACTGAGGAAAATTATCCGCCTGGCGTGAGATTTACAACAGAATTAACGTGCGGCGAATTACAGTGGACGTGGTGGTTATAGGCGCGAAAGCGCCTGCGATTCCGCTCGCGCCGCGAGTGAAAATTTCACGGGGCCTTCGTTCGGACCCCGCTAAGAAGCTGTATTTTTAAACCATTCAGCCCGATTGTACGCATTCGCCGTTCGCCGCTCGCGCCGGCTGTTATTTTCGCCGAGATATAAATGCTTTCCCCATTACAATTAAAAGCCTCGGGCTCCGTCCATCCGGGCAGATTCGTTAATTCTATT